TTCTCCCTCTCCCTCCTCTTTCCCGCTCTCTCCCCCTTCCCCTTCACCCTCTTCCCCCCCCTTTCCTTGATCATCTTCTCTCTTTCCTTCTCTCTCTCTCCCCTCCTCTCCCATCTATCAACTTCCGCTCCTACTACTCTCGTGGGAGTGAGCCACGTCCATCTTAACTGCCAGCAGACCTCAGCTCGCAACGAGGCTCCGAGGGGGCCAGGTAAGGAAATCAGCTGCTACCTCCCTCACCCTCCTCTCAGCTGCTACCTCCCTTATCCTCCTCTCAGCTGCTACCTCCCTTGTCCTCCTCTCAGCTGCTACCTCCCTTGTCCTCCTCTCAGCTGCTACCTTCCTCACCCTCCTCTCAGCTGCTACCTCCCTTACCCTCCTCTCAGGCTTACATGTCGACTTTAAGTCCCCAGTCTCCCTGCAACCTCCGCGTCCTCCACTATGAATATGTACCCGATGTGAGTAGCGATTACTCAGAACTCCCCCTCTCTCTCACTCGCTTCCTTCTCTACTCCCTCTCCTTTTCTCCTTCTTCTCCTTCTTCTCGTCCACCTCGTTCACCCTTGTCTCCCCTGTGTCTTTCCCTTCCTCTTTTCCTCCCGCTTCTCCTCCCGCGTCTTCACCTTGAATTTCTTCCCTTCCCCCTCCCTCTCGTCCACACTCGTTGTTTTCCTCCTCTTCTCTCCTCGTGCCTGCTGAGTTTCATCCAGATCCTAGAGCTGAGGGGACCGCATCGAGCTGGTCATATTGCTGCTGCCAAGAAATTGGAAGATGACGGTGAAACATGAATCTCCTTTCGCACGAGCCCATGTCCTCCCTCCTTGTCCACTTTTCTCTTCATCTCGCAGTTGTCAAATCCTCCTCCCTGTGCTCTTTTAGCTTCTCCTTTCCTTCTCCCCTTCCTTCTTCTTGCTCCGTTACATCTTCTGTCTCTTCCTGCTTCTTCACCCTCCTCCTACCATCCCTTCCCGTTCCTCCTTGCTCCTTGCATCTCTCTGCTCCCCCCCCCTCCTCTTTTCTTCCAGCTCACTCGGTTCTCCCTTCTCTTGTTGTATCTTCTCATGTTCATCAAATCAGGAAAACTTGTTCTTGCTGGTGCCATGGCCAACCCGGTATGAGATTTATCGCCTTTTTCATGTTTGTCCTGTTCTGTCATGTTATTTCTTGCCTTGCCTTGTCTTGCCTTGCCTTGCCTTGCCTTGCCTTGCCTTGCCTTGTCTTGTCTTTTCTTGCCTTGCCTTGCCTTGCCTTGTCTTGCCTTGTCTTGCCTTGCCTTGTCTTGTCTTGTCTTGTCTTGCCTTGCCTTGCCTTTCCTTGTCTTGTCTTGTCTTGTCTTGTCCTGTCTTGTCTTGTCTTGTCTTGTCTTGTCATCGTCGTTTCGTCATCATCTTCCCTACCGTTCACTCCCCGACCCTCTGCTCCCATCCTGTCTCCTTCTTCCTCCTCTTCATCCCCTCTCCTCACTCTCTCACTCCTCTCTCTTCTTTCTCTCTCTGACGACACGAGTAGGTAGATAGCGCTATGTTCATCTTCAAGGACGTCACCGACTCGGAGATCAAACAGTTTGTGGAGGATGACCCTTGTACGCTCCAGCTCCTCCAGCTCCTCCAGCTCCTCCCCTGCTGATTTCCGTTGCAGATTTTGTCAACGGGCTTGTCAAGAGCTGGCGTGTGAGAGAATGGACGGCAGTTGTAGGGACAGGAAAGGTCTGAGAGAAGCAGACTACAACTTCATTGTGAGCAAAAACAAGACAAGATGTTGAAAATCTTAAATCTCTCAATCATGGCTGAGATGACGAATGATACTACAGAACGACTAAGATACAGAGAACGTTGTTGTAATCGTTGTTTTCATTGATCACGATGACGACGATCATGATGATGATCATGGTGAAGCAGAATTTGCAAGGACGACGAAAGACGTCCAACATCATCATTTTGTGATTAGAAGCCTGTTGTATACCTTGGGCCAGTCGTCTGCATTGTCTGAAAACCTGGAGGTAGAGCATGTGAATATGTCCCAAGCCATCTTCTGAAGTTCTTTCCCTCTTCCTCTACCTGCTCACTGTTGTATCGCTTCCTCAACAACATCTTCTGAGCTACATCCAGAAAATTTCTTTTATACGCATTCCTCTCCTTCTCCTCTCCTCAGCCTCTTGCTCGGCATGTCCCCTTTTCATTGCTACCCCGCTGCTTATTCTCAAGCTCCTCATCATCATCCTACTTTGCTACTTTGCTCTTTAGTTGCCTTCTTCGGTCCTCCTCCTCCTCCTCCTCCTCCTCCTCCTCCTACCCCTGACCGCCTTTACCCCCTTCTCCTCCTCTTACCGTTAAGAGGACGGAGCTCGTACGTCGCGTCCTCTACAACTCCAACCTTGGAGCCGTTCTCGCCCTGCCACAGTCTCTCAGGGAGGAAGAGAGGAGGAAGGGGGAGGAGGAGGAAAGCAGGTAGGGGAGCTGATGGAAGGCCAAGTGAGAAGGCTGCATGAGTAGTAGCGGATAGCGACAAGGGAAATGAGATCACCAGGAGGCCAAGCCATCCAATCACTGTCTTGTCTCCTCTGTTGGTGCGATCAAACACTTGCACGTAGAAGCTCAACAGCAAGCATAGGAGAGAGGAGGAGGAGGAGGAGGAGGAGCAACAGCAGCAGTAGCAGCAAGATCAGGGAGGAGAAGGGAGGAGAAGGGAGAAGAAGGGAGGAGAAGGGAGGAGAAGGAGCAGCAGCAGCAGCAGGACAATGAGGAGGAGGATAAGCAGCAGCAGGAGGAGCAGGAGAAAAAGAAGGAGAAGGAAAAGGAGAAGGAGGAGCCGATTCAGCACGAGCAAGCAGCAACACGCTACCCATGGCTCCCTTGCACGAAGATTGTCATCTCACGAATCTTCACAGCAAGTCAGGTTGCGTCTTGACACGTCAGTGCCGCGAGGGCGACTAACGAAACAACTACAAAAGTCGCCTCACATTCTTGAAAAGCGCCTCATTTCCAACTTCGCTCAGCTCTATCGTGCGAAGCTTCCCGTCTCCTTCCTCCTCCAGATCCAGTAGAGCAGAGGGCTCAGCAGTCTCGGCCTTGGGAAGCGAAGGATATGAGCGAGGAAGCGAAGATAGAGAGGGTGGACGGAGAGAAGAAGGGGGAGGAGGAGAGGACAGGAGAGGACAGGAGAGGACAGGAGAGGACAGGAGAGGAGAGGGCAGGAGAGGAGAGGACAGGACAGGACAGGGGAGGACAGGGGAGGACAGGGAAGGACAGGAGGGGAGGGGAGGGGAGGGGAGGGGAGGACAGGACAGGACAGGACAGGACAGGACAGGACAGGACAGGACAGGACAGGACAGGACAGGACAGGGCAGGACAGGACAGGACAGGACAGGACAGGATGAAACAGGTGAGAGGAGCAGGAGTGGGAGGAGCAGGGGAGTCTGAGGATGGCAGGAGGCATTCGGGGGGCAGCAGCTGCAGCAAGACTTCACCTCGTCGAAGTCAGCCATGGATCTATCAGCAAACATCTTGATGACCTTGGGGCTGTTCGTTCCCATGCTGATGATGCCGATGCTCTTGATTGACACCAGTTGCTGTTGGTCTGAGTGTTAGCTAGACTGATGCTGTTGCTCCTCCTTCTCCTCCTCCTGCCCTTCCCACCTTGCCTCCGCCCCCCCCTCCTCTTCCTCCTCCTTTCCCTCCCCTGTCCCCTTCGACCGCTGCTACCGCTCCTGCTCCTGCTCCGGCGATCGGTGTACCTTGAAGGAGATGCAAAGAAGCACTTGGTCGTCATCGGAGGACTCGAGGTACATCGACGGGTCCTCCCTCTCACAGAACGGCCGCAGGAGTTCTTGTGCTCCGTGGTCTAGACCAACTTCAGATCCTTCTTCTTCGTTGCGTCCCCTCACTCTCTCTCCTCCTCTTCCCTCTCCCTACCTGTCCTCCCTCTCCCTCCTCTTCCTTGCTCTCGCTCTCGGTCTTGTTCTTTCCTCCTCCTCCTCCTCCTCCTCCTGATACTACTACTACTACTACTACTACTACTACTCGTCCTACCCCTAGTCCTCTTCCTCCTCTCCTCCTCTTCCACTCACTTGATTCGGTGTTGAAGCTTGCGGTCTTGTCCATGCATACCGCATCGTGCAGCCATGTCAGCGAAGCCTCGCCGACTTTGCCGCATGCGCAAGAGCGCTCATGTCCTCCTCGAAGACGCAGGATGCTGCTGCTCCTGCTGCAGCTGCTCCTGCTAGATGGCTTCATCTGCAGGCTCGACGCACCAAGGCATGCTCCGGAGTTAAGGAGGAGGAGGAGGAGGAGGAGGGAGGCGAGGAGGAAGAAGGAAGGAGCCTTGAGAGGCGTTCGGGGGACCAGACTTTGCATTATTCTTTGCATCGGATCTACATTAATCTGCTCACAAGTTCTGGGATGGCAGAAGAAGTCAGACTATCAAGGCTACAAACACCTTCCTCTCCTCCCCCTCCTCCTTTCCTTCTCCTCCCTGTCCTCCCCCTCCCCCTCCCCCTCCCCCTCCTCATGCTTCTGCCCTTGCCCCTCCTCTCGCGTTCAACCCGCTAACTACGCCCTCAACTGAGCTCCGTGCCACCCTCCCTCCTCTTCCTTCCCATCCATCTATCCTCCTCCTCCTTGTTCTCCTCTTCCTGCCGCCCCGTCTCCTCCCCCATCCACCACCACCACCAAACCGTTCATTCTTGTTCCCTTCTCCTCTCCTCCCCCTCCTCCTCCTCCTCCTCTTCCTCCTCCTCCTCCTCCTCCTCTCTTCTTCCCTCCGGGAACAGTCCGCCTTGCCCTCCTCTTCCTCTTTCCTCGTCCTCTTCCTCGTTCCCGCATTTTGCTCTGCACCTGTAGGATGCGCCTGCTCAAAAAAGGTCCCTAAGAAAAAGAAGAAAGCGTAGGGGAGGGGGGGGGAGGTGAAACGGGACGGAGGGGGCTGAAGGATGGTGAGTAAGGCAGAGAGGAGGTAGAGAGGAGAAGAGAGGGAGGGGAGAGAAGGGAGAGGGGAGGGGGGGGGGGGTAGGAGGAGATGAGGGAGGAGAGGAGGGAGGAGAGGAGGGAGGAGAGGAGGGAGGGATGGGTAAGAAGGTGAAAGGAAAGCTGGATGATGATAGAATCGTAGCCGGAGACGTCAAGAACAGCAAGAGAACTTTTGGGCAAGAGGAGGGAAAGAAGGAGAAAGAGTGGGGAGGATGTGGAACAGGAGGAGGAGCTGCGACTAAGGCAAGGGGCGGCAAGACTCGCGCGTCTTCCTGCTGTGAGTTCAGCTGTGAGTTCAGCTGTGAGTTCAGCTATGAGTTCATTTATTCGCAATCTTTGTCACAGACTTAATGTCTCTCGACGTCTTCACCTGCAAAACAAACATCATCTTCCTACCAACAAGCTCCTCCTCTCCTTCACTTTCCTTCATGATCCTGCTCAGAAGGGCATCTTGTCCTCCAGCGTCCTTGAACAGCGCATAAGAACGAGCAGCACATGTCAACTCTTGCTCCTCCTACCTTCTTCCTCGTGGTGTTGTCATATTGGTCCAGCCCCACAATGAACTGCAGGCAGGTAAGAAGCAAACAACAAACACGCTACATGTACTTGCTGCCAGTTCAGAGAGTCCAAGTTCGAAGGCTCAACCTGCAAAACCAATCACCTCCTCCTCTTCCCACGACCTCCCGCCATGGCAGACATCCAAAGTCTTCCGTCGCTGCAGCAGCTTCTCCTGTTCCTCGGGAATCTTTGTGGGCAGGTTAGGAAGGAGGGGATGGAGGTCGGACGTACCTCTACCCCGTTCTGCGTCCCTGCTTGCAGGATCTCCAGGATCTGAAACAGCCATGTCACATCATGCCGAGCAAACTAGCAAGAACCTCTTTGGAAGACTCGTCGACTTGCAGGATGTCTCCCAACGACATCTTGTCTCTCAACTGCAAGGTTTGGCAGCAAGTGAGGACACTTGTCAACACTTGTCGACACTTGTCGACACTTGTCGAGCTGTTCCTCACCGTCGACATGATGTACTTGGCTCTCTTCAGCAGAGTGTTGTCGTCGACTAGTCAAAGTCAACATACAGCAAGAGGAGAACGCAATTTCAGCACCGTAGACTTCTGTTTTGTTGTCCTCCCACACCCTCCTGCTACAATCAGCGGCGATAAAGGGAGAGGACGATGTTGCCTTCGGGCTGGTGCCTCAGTTGCTTTGCCGTTCCCTGCGCATTTGAGATCAAGAGAGTGGCAGGAGGCAAGGACAGGACAGAACAAGACCGAGAGTCGAAGGGGGGAAGATGGGGGAGGAGAGGAGAGGAGAGGAGGAGCAGAGCAGAGCAGAGCAGAGCAGAGTGAACAGGATAACATTATCCTGTAACGAAACAGCATGTCAAGGACATTTTACCTATGTGTTCAAACCCTGGTATGACTGGAAGTGCCGCAGCTGGGAAGCAAGTCAGGGTAAGGAGGAGGGAGACAGAAGGGAGGAGGAAGAAGCAGACAGGGAGCAGACAGGGAGCAGGCAGGGAGCAGGGAGCAGAGAGAACCTGGTTTCAGTTCTTGTCTGTCGCCATCCTTTGCTGCCTTCCCTCCCTCTCCTCGCGAGTTTCGATCTTCGACCTCCTCATTCTTGATCGCCTGCTGCTGGACATCTCCCGTTTCCTTCTCCTTCTTCCCTCCCTTCTCCCTCTCCCTCGTCCTGCTGCCAACGCTCGCCTTTTCCACCTTCACGACAGTCTGCGAACCTCGCTCAGCTCAACTTCACCTGCCTCCCAGCTCTTGTCAACCTGATGCCCTCCAACGATCAACGTGTCGGCAAGGCTTGACAGCTCTGCGGCCGCTCCTCCAGAGCCTGCCGAGCTCGCTGGGCCCTCCTCCTTCCCTGTCGGCTGCTCTTCCTCGAGGACGAGGATGCCACTGGCCTCCAGCTTCTGCGCCTTGCGGATGAGGGAGGTGCTGAGTTTCTTGTCCTGCGCTCAGGAGTGACAAGTGAGAAAGGAGGAGAGGGAGAGGTGGAAGGAGTAGGAACGGCAGGGAGAGGTGGAAGCAGAAGGGGGTAGGAAGGGAAGGGAGGAGAGGACGGGGGGGGTAGTAAACTGCAGGGAAATGAAGGAGGAAGGAAGGGGGAGGAGGAGGAGGCACCTGCATCTCCTGCAAGCGGCTGATCTCCAGCTCTGACGCTTGTATCTTCATCATCAGCTCAGTCCGCTGCGAGAGCAGGTCAGCAAGCTCAAAGAACAGGGAGGTAGGAGTTGGGTATCGAGGAGGAGGAGGACGAGGAGGAGGACGACGAGGAGGACGAGGAGGTCGAGGAGGAGGAGGAGAGTAAGCTGGTCGAGGAGGAGGAGGACCTCGTTCTCTAGCTTGAGGATCTGCTTCTCCCTCTTCACCAGAAGGTCCTCATGCTTTCTCAGCCCTGTGGTGCAGTTAGCAGGGAGCCGATGACAAAGACAGGAGAAAGAGGAGGAGGAGGAGGAGGAGGAGGAGGAGGAGGAGGAGGAGGAGGAGGAGGAGGAGGAGGAGGAGGAGGAGGAGTAGGAGTAGGAGGAGGAGGAGGACGAAGGAAGTGGTAGTGGAGGAGAGGGGGGCACCGAGCTCGGACTTATTGTGGAGGTCCTTGTAGTGACTTACAGTTTCCTGGTAGAGGAGTCAGAGAGGATCAGGATTGAAGTACGGGGGTTGGGAAGCAAACAGGAAGGAAGGAGGGGGGGGTTGAGAAAAGAAGCAAACTGTAGGTAAAAGATGAAGCTGGGAACAGGGAGGAGGCAGGAGGAGATGGTAAAAAGGGAGATGTGAAGATGAAGAGGGAGGGGAGGGGGCGGATGGAGGACGGAGGGAGGACGGGAAGGAGGAAGTGAAACCTCCAAGTCCTTGTTGATCTGCTGCTGCTCGTGCAGGAGGGTAAACAGCTCTTCCCTCCCCTGACCTGAGGGGCCCAGGTCATCGACCTGCTCCCTCCCTGCCGCCCTACCCACCTGCCTCCATCCCGCTGTCTGTCCTCTGCCACCATGCCTGCGATCGTAAGGCACGTCTAGAGAGGAGGAGAGGGAAAGAAACCTGGAGGATGTTGACTAGCCTGATCTTCATCCACCTGGGCAGGAACGCAGGTGAGAGGAGGAGGGAGAGCGATCGCTGGCTCGGACCTTCTGCTGAGCATGTCGGCGATCATACCCTGCGCCTGCCTCTTGGAGATGGAGTTTGCTGTCCACAGGTACCAGCTGCGGAAGGGAAACTGCAACATGGACTTTGAAACGAGGATCCATTTTTCGAGGACGGCGATCTTCGTGCTGCACGTGAAGGTGGTCACAGAAGGAGCAGAGGCCGAGCAAAGGGCCACCTCCTGCTGAACCTTGCTCGCTCGAACCAACTATGCATCACGTCTCTGAGCGCCTCCCGTCAGCTTCTCCTCGTCCGTCAAGGCACAACACACCGCAGCAAGCGATCCAGGCAGAGCTTGAACCGCTTCTTCACTTCCGCGCGCTTCGACGCGAAGAAGAGCCAAACACGCATGTGGCTCGAGTACAGGCTCATAATCGCCTGGTGCTGAATGTGACGCTCGTTCCGCAGCCTTACAGGCAGGTGAGAAGCTGAGAAACGAAAAAGATAGCAGGGCACCTGACGTATTTGCCGGCATCCCATCGCTTGCATTCTTTGATGTATTCTTTCCAGCTGGTGACGAGCAGCTGTATCAGCACACCACCACTTGCTTCTTCGCGGCCTCACACCTCGAGAACGCCTCCCATCCTCTCTTCGAATTGTCCAGCCTTATCGCCCTCTGCAAGGCAGTCAACAAGTCCCATCCTCACTCCCCCAGCAACGAGTCCACCATGAACTTAGTTCGCTTCTTGCGACGAACCATCAGGTATGCTAGGGACAAGTCAGCCTGTTCCAACCTCCCGCCCACCCCCTCACCTCTCCACACTTTGACAGCTTTCTCGACTGCTATTTCCCCCATCCGCCCTGCATCCTCGTCAAGTCCCCGTCACCTCCTCTCCCTCCCCGTCGCTTCTTCAGCTTGTCTACCGCTCATCAGAGCGATCGAGTCCTCGTACATCCTCTGCAGCATGCTCAAAGACATGTCCACCCCACCAGCTCTCCCCCACCTGCTGCACCACAGACTCGATCACGTCTTCTCGCCATCCTACAGCAAGTCGTCATCTCCCGAGATGATAGGACAGTCAACCTTCTTGCATCGCTTGCTTCGAAACCTGTTCGCAAGGTCATCAGCAGGAGTGGAGGAGGCAGAGATCTCGTTGCTCTGACCTCACTGTGTATCTTCTCCAGCCTTGAGTTGTTCTTCGACGCCACCTTCGAGAGTTCCTACTTCTCTTCACCAGCATGCATCGCCAACTTCGCCTTCATACCTGCACTATCCTCATAGCTTTCCGCCAGTCTTGGAATACTGTGAGGGAAGAAGTCAAACGCGGCGAGCACAGGAGAGCATCACTGTTATAGACGAGCCTCCGCTCGTACTTGACGATCATGAAGAAGGCCTTCTGTCTTTGACTCGACCTGACGCCACGTCATCACCTCGACCTCTTCTCAGCTCCTTCACCTCAGAGGCATCCTCTCCAGCACGTAATCGAACAGTGCTCTGAAGATCTTCCTACCTGCGACAACAGTGTTCAGCCTTGCACCTGCCGGGGGAGGGGAGGAGAAGCACAGCTCTCGAGCTCTCTCTTCCGGATGATCTGATTGAGTTGAAACCGTATTGCTCTGCAAGACTTTCACTGACCGCGTCACCTTCTCATCAACTTCACCTTCTTGATTGTAAGAAACCATCGAAGAACTTCGCAAGCCCCGAACTTTGTCGCTCCTGAATGTTCAGTCAGGCCAAGAGCTTGCTTTGAGCTCAACGATGATGTTGTCACTTGATACATCTTCAACGCCAGTATTCCATTCAAGTACCTGCACATGTCTCAGTCATAGTACAACTGACATCCTCCACAGACCGTTTCCTCCTCAAGAATCCCTTCACGGTCTTGGCGATCTTAGTAGCAGCTTCATGTTCAGAAGCAGTGGCCTGTCGCATGACGTCATTGATACATTGACATCTCAATCCCAGTGCCTTTATGAAGATGTAGTCGAGGTCGATGAGCGAACCCTTGGAGCCAGCACGTCAGTGAGGGACGTAGGATGGCACCCTCGCAAGACCTGAATCTTCTCCAGCAGGTTCGTCAAAACCCGCGGGACTTGAGCGCGATGGCCGTCAGTCTCATAACCCTCGTGTCCCTTGTCCGACCATGTCCGGCTGAGACTCGTTCCCACCTGCTGCCTCTGTCAGCAAGTCCTCCCTCACATCCTGCCCCACCTCTGCTCCGCCCTCCTCCGCGTGTGACCTCCTGTGCTGCATGCTCGAGCCCTGCGGGGTGCTGGTGCTCGCGCGAGACAGAGGGTCGACAGCACTCTGAGCGTGCATGGTCAACTACAGGCGAGGGTGATGGGAACAGAAGGGGAGGATGAAGGGAACAGAGAAGGGGGAGGGGGGGTTGATGAGCAGAACCTTGTCGATGGGTGTTGAAATCATTCGCTCGATCATGTCGGAGCGAGCATCGACAGCCTGCGGCATGTCAAGCGTTCAAACAAACAAGAACACGTGTACTTGAAGCCGGCTTGCTATCATGTCAAGCTTGGCATGAAGTGTATTCACCTGCACGACCATGAGTGTTCGAGCAGTAACATGAAAATGGTTCTACCTTATCGTCTGTTGTCTTGGGCCGCTTGCTGATCTTTCGCTGATCAGACTGGTGCAGGGACTCTGATTCCCACAAGTGAGTTGATGCGGGTCGCGAATGACTGGCTGCGACGACTTGACTTTGACTAAAACGCGTCAACATGGCGACTCAGCAACAGAAGCTCTTCGTACCTGGTTGACAGCTGGGACGAATGTAGCCGGGGCAAGCCCTCCCGCCCTTGGCACGTTCATGGCCGGCAGAGGACGGGAGGCTGGAACGGAAGGAAGGCTCAGCTGTCTGAGTTGTTGACCGCACGGGAAGTATTGACCCCTGAGATGAAGAACGTCAGAGGTTGGAGGAGAAAACAACGTTGTCTGTTCCTGCATCGGATGCACTGAGATGCGAGGGCGGGAGTGCAGCGGAGAAGCTGGGATGACCTGCATGGCTGGTTCAGAACGAGAAGCATGAGTGTTTGTACAACAACATCTTGGGACACTTTGGAAGCCCAGGTTTGCGACTGCAGATGATGGTTAGAGTGCTGGTCACCCAGCGCAAGAGTCCTTACCAAGCTCTTCTTTCTCTCTGCTATCGCACCAATGGCTCTCCGTACGAGAACTACCTCCTCTACGCTTTTTGTTCTTGGCTGGTGAGGAAAGGAGATGTCAGAATCAGAGCGACAACTGCATCATGTTTGCTCTCTCAAAAGCCGCACCTGTCCGAGTTTCTCATCCCTTGCAGGGTTTAACCCGTGCCGTTTTGACATTCTCAAACCGTCTTCGTTTGTAGCCTCATGGCTCAATTCCGTTCCTGCAAACTTCTGACTTTCACCAAGCGAATAAACTTGTCGCCAAGGGCCGCATTTGCTCTAGAAAATGTACATGAAGCATAGCATGTCTGATCTCGATGCTGTTTACAACCGATGCCCTTGTCTCGATACGTCACCGATGAGGTTTCATGTTTGAGCATTCCTACTTCCAGCTGCACAGAAAGAAAGCATCTAGGACGTCTGCTTCTTGTACTCATACCAACACCTGAATCTACCTCATCCCCTCTGACAGGATATCACAAACTAGCGATGACCCGATGTTTCTGTACATCCCATGGTTTCTATCTCTCCCCATCTGGCCGAGTCTTCGCCTCTCTTCCTTGCTTTCTCCTTCTCTTCACTAGAGTTTCAAAACCTTGTTGAAAAACTTCTTCCCTCCTTAAAAACTTCACCTTCATCATTCCTCATGATCGTCGCGTCCAAGTCTTTCATGTCTTTCCCTCTTAAAATCGCCTCGGTTAACTTAGTAACTTCACTCAGAGACTTTCTTCAACGTCCCCTCTCAGTGGTTACTGGCAGTCATCAGGTCTGTCTGCTGCTGTTCTGCCCTAGCACCCATCATGATCACTTTGTCCTTTCTCCTTGCCCGTCCGGCATCATCGCTCTCAGTTCATCGTTCACTCCCTGCTAGTGCCATGTTCCCAGCCTGGAGTCAACGGCAGCACAAGTAGGTTCTTTCTTTTCAGTAACTTGGCAAGGCTATCCGATCAATTATTCCGCCGCGGCCGGGGTCGGACGGGGGACGGTCACCGTCACCCCGCCGGGCCGAGTCCGGACTGCCCCCGAATGGGCTCGGAGCCTCCGAGCCCGGGGCCGGGCCGGTACCGACGAGTGAGCCGTAAGAGTCAGTGGGCCCTTGACGCGGGGGGGGACTCCGGGAGTTGCGCAAAGTATGTCGGCGGCTCGGACTCCCCGGATCTCTTTACTCCAAGCGATCAGATGATGATTCATGATTGCCCACGGTCTCCGCCGAAGTTGCCGAGTCGGTCACCGTCGTCAAACAGTGAGTTTCGACTCACGAGCCAGCGCCCCGGCCCGGGCGGCCCGAGTCGGCACTCAGTGACTCAGTGATCGGACTGTAAACTTACTGCGGCGGCCATACGGTAGTACTGGGGGGGTGGGGGGGGCTCCGGCCCGCGGGGCCGGCGACCCAACTTAACCTTGAGTAAAGGACTTATTACCCAGGAGCCCGGCGGCCACTCCGACACTGCCGTGCCCGTATCATAGCCTACTATGCCCCGGCCCCGGCGTCACCCCCCGGCCCGGCCCCGGTAGTCACCGTCACCCCCGCCGGGGAGCCTGCCCGCAAGCCTGACCGTGTTAAAAAGAAAAACTCTGGCAGTCAGCCGCAGACAAAAGGTTAAACCCTCCTTGGAGTCACGTTACCAGGTTGTCAGCAGTCCGTGACCTGGCATGCCACTTGGGTCACGTTTACCTCCTTCCGTCCGAGGCACCTTGAGGATGGTCGCTACCCGTACTTTTGACTGATTTCCGGGGGGTTCAAGTACCCCTCCTCCCCAATTTCTCAATTTACTTCTTGGATTTCCTCCGATACCCCCTACACTACTCCCCTGCTTACCTTGTCGTCTCCTTACTCTCTCCCCCTCTTCTGCGCCCATCCCCTCTCCCTGGTTTCCTCCAACTGCTCTAGCATTCCGCACACACTCTCTCACACACACTCCCTCTCTGCATCTTGATCTCGTGAAGCATCTGTTCTCAGCTCGTTCTTAGCGTATTGTTCTCCCCGCAAACACCTGCAACACACATTCCTGATATTTGTTGGCAAACGAAGGGCCTGAACACGAACATTGCCTGCCTGACTGGACTTGGTGATACGCATATCCTCTTTGATATCCTTGAAGATGTCAAGAAATAGCATATCTGTGGAAGATGCTATACACATGATGACATCTACGCCGGAAACGTTCTCTTCGGTTGTCTCGTGGGGTACAGGCCATATTTCCAGCCAATCCATGGATCCATGGAACTACTCGCTGCTTCTCGCATATAACGAAGTTGATGTCAACGATCGGGAGCTGGAGACTACCCTGGAAGAGGATACCTTCAGACCATCCACGTTGTCTCCTCAAGGAATCGAGGATGAACCTGGGCCAAGTTCGTTCCAGCCCCAAATATTGCAACCAGGGACGGGAACCCCACAGCATTGGAGCAAGGAAGAACATGAACGGTTCTTGTCAGCGCTGGAAATATGCAGGCCAAAAGGCATGGGCGAACAACCCGGAATTCCTCGCGAAGGAGCAGGGAGTGTTGGGTTAGGGAGGGGAGTAGCGAAAGAGATGGCAAAACTCATCGGAACGAGGACGGCGTCTCAAGTGCGATCGCACGCGCAGAAGTACTTCTTGAAGCATCGAGCTGATTCTTGATGCATGAGACTCCTTCATCGTTTATTACTTCTTTTCGTCACAAAACACAGTAACCCAGTGCTATGAATGTCTGGGGGCCGATGAAAGGTCCTTTGAGGGAGGATACGCTCTATTGTTCTCTTCTAGACGAGACTGACTGCGTAGTTTTGTAGTAACCTTGCCTCTAGACCAATTTCACTTGATAGTATTCAAATATGTTAATAGAGTCCTTTACTTCCCCCGACAAGACTTTTACGCCCTTGTGTACACCATTTTTCACTCAGCCTTTCATTACAACTGGCCCAACCATCATGTGGTTGAACATGCCAGTGAACTGTGTCTGGTTTCATTATCTTCTTCGATCAATCTCGTTGTTATGGACATTTTCTCATCGAGTTGTACTGGCTCTCATTTCTTGATCTCGATCCGATGGCCGCCTTATTTTGAGTCATGTCTCCATGCCCTCGTGACTTGGGCTGCAACATAATCTGCTTACGTCATGCTGCTGACATGCTGATGTCAGCTGTTACGACATAAACCCAACCACCCTACCCTGCAATGGCTGCAAGAAAGCGAAACCTCTTCATTTCACCGCCCTGAAGGGTTTTGGGCTAACCATCTAAAATCGCAACGCTTCAAAATATTTTTTTTCGGGAACAGCCTCCGTTCGCGTCTTCTTCTGCCACACCGCACTTTGCTCCTCTGCCCTCGCCACCCCCTCGCTCCTTCTCCCTTCCCCTCCTGCTGCTCCCTCTCATATTCTCTGCTTCAGCTCCTCCTTGTCTCCTGCTCTCTCATCTTCCATTGCTCAAACCTTATCCTTCAGTGGTATTCTTCGCATCTTGTCTTTACGAGTTTCGCAGTGGGTTCGACACTGCAGACATCAGCTGCGTTAACCAGAAAAATCGCTTCAATCGAGTCATCTCCTTTCAAAACTGAGAAATCTGATACCCCTTTCATCCCGTAGCTGAACAAAGATGACTGACTCTCTCGAAGACGCTATTGAAAACATTTTTATCAACAGCAGCCTGGGAGAACAAGGTTCTCACCTATCGAACAAAGCGGACGAAGCTTGGAACTATTCATTCCTGACTTCTTATCCTGAGCTGCCCACAAGCATGCAAGAGACATTCAAGTTGTCACTTTCACAAAAAGCGCAAAGTGCTGTACGACAGCAACGAGAATCGAGTCCTTCTGACACAAAGACAGCCGGGAAAACGGAAGCCGTTGCGAAAATTTCGCGATGGTCCAAGGAGGAGCACGAGAGATTTCTTGCTGCTCTGACAGAATGTTGCCCGGAGCGAACAGCAGGTGGTGCGAGGGCTGGACTGACCTCGGGCGGCCTTGGACGAGGAGTTGCCAAGATGATAGCCAAGAGAGTTGAGACGAGAAATGCCTCGCAAGTGCGATCGCATGCCCAGAAATATTTCATTAGAAACCTTTGCTGACAGTCAGGCTAGTCAGTCTACTGCAAATTCTCCGTGAGATTGCTGCTCGCGATTATCTGGGACCGAAGGCAAGCGCGTCGGGAGAAGGATGTATGCTTTGAAAGGACGGCAATTCCCGGGAATGCAACATGTAGTAGTTTTGTTCAGAATAATATGCATGGCCGGTCAAACACCTGTATCAACTCTCTAATCTATCCTGTATTGAGACGTACACATTCGTTACGATGTTTTATGCAAACTTGATATCTTGATATTGTGGCATTGCTGACCTCTGACTAAATTTCTGAACGCCTTTCACGAGTTTCACTGTCAATGAAATGTCAAAGTCAAGTGTGCAAGGAAGTCTCCTGACCTGATTTTCTGAGACTTGGAGGTTCGCCAATTCCTCTTCTCCCATGTTCGAGTCTGTCTGCTCAGATACATTCCATCAATCATGGACACGGCGCCATACACATTCGCCGATCATACCTTCCGTCGGCGACCCTGATCTGGGCGAACGTAGATGGAGCTGAAGGAAACATCAGGAACAAGAAAGCTAAAGATCCTTGTGAGACCGTCCGTTCAAGATCGACTGATCCAGGGAAGTAACGGCAGCCTGTCACGGTCATGAGCACACGTTTTCAGTACGTGCAAGGCCTCGAGGACCTCAGCGTCTTGGGGGGTCCTGTACTGCACGATGGCGAATCCACTGGAAAGGAAGATGAGAACAAGGAGGGCAAGAACGGCAAGAAGGCTGTCAACTCACCGTGAAACGTATGAGATCGATCCATCCATGTTGGTCATGGGCGCCTTAATGATCTTTCCAAACTCCACCTGCGGTGATGACAAGAGTGAGCCGCCCTCGGGTTGAGTTGCGATCCGAGGAAAGCTCACATGTCCAGCCTTGGCCATGTGATCTCTGACATCTTGCCATGGTGTGCCAAACTTGATGTTACCTATCAGACCAGCACATGTATCAGCGAGGCGGGACTTTGACCGATTCACCTACCAACATATACACGGCACCCAGGGGGACACTTGGGCCAGAACTACAATGATGTTAGGTGGAAACAGATCAGACAAGAAGCATCCTGTATGCTTACTTGAGGGTGTCCCATGGAGGGGGGGCGTCGCTGTCGGACCCTGAACATTCCTAAGGGTCAGTGAAAAACTTTTCGACAAGCTTGTCATCACGGGGCCCCGCCGTTGGTCGCCGCTCTTGCAGCAGCTTCAGCTTTCCTGAGAGACAGTGAGAGGGAACACTTGAGGTTCCAAGACCTTCACCTAGCTAGGGCAGCTGCTCGCTTGGCTTGGCTGGCAGCAATCTACAGTGTGGAACATGTTCAAAAGGACCGAGTGCAGACAGTCAAGCTTGAGACCTTGGCTGGATCGATACCAGAATCGGCTCTAACCAGGACTGATCTGCTCAAGGTTGCCGGTCAATCTTTGCAGCATCTAGTCGGTGTTTCAACCTCTTCATGAAGCTGCTGCCAGCCAGTTGTTCTATAGCCGCCTTTGCCTGTTCCTGAATCGAGAGTGAGCAATATTCCCAAACTACCCGACACCCGGATACCTCTGTCGCATATTCTGCCATAGCAAAACCCTTGCACCGATCCGAATTGGGGAATCTTTTGACAGAAAGGCTGGTGACCTGGAAGCATAATTTGTCAAAATCGGTTTAGGATTCACCGATATGACAAACCTCTCCAACTTTAGAGAGAAATTCTTTCAAAGCATCGTCCTTCAAGCCATCAGTGGACATCGATCACATGCACTCGCAAGTACCTGCACTGAGATAGGCAGGTTCCCCACATAGACCTTCGCAAAATTTTCAGGACCTTTCCACGTCAACATATGACTTGACTTACCTTCTTCGGGTTTGGAGGGACGGCAACGATCTGGCTGGCAGCAGCAGGAACCTTCGCCTCACATTCACAACCAACGCACACACAGCATCTCAAGATTTACCGCCTCGTCGTCGCCTCCACGGAGATGCATCGACCTGCAAAGTGCAGCATGTGGCTCTTTCACTGCCAGAGGGAGTCAATCAAGACAGAGGGAGCGCACACAGCGAGGAGAAGCAAGTCAAAGAGCGCTCCAGTAGACTCTGAAACTTCTCGGGCTCGGATACCTGCTATCGATGCGGGGAAGCAAACGGAGGAACCGATCACTGTCAGGTGATAAGTAAGCTCAATACTTGCTGTAGCGTGCTCCCGTCCTCACCATCAGCGTTGGCTGCCGATATGAGCAGAAGAAGAGATAAACATTGGATTGACATGTTCGCAGCCTCGTGCACCTGCGAGATCAGGTTTTGTCGGTTAATGCTTGCTTCGATCGAGGGAATGCTTGCTTCGATCGAGGGAGAACCCAAACTTGCACTCGAATGAGTTGTAAGGAAACGCATGCATCATTTACAGAGCAACAAGGACATACAAGCATGTTTCCGAACAAAATCTTGCACTGACATGGCACGACATGAAGTTTTCGGGGCAGAATCAAGGGTGTGAGACAGGCTCGATTTTCAGCCAACCGGCGCACGTCATAGGTCGCAACAGAACATCGGCGCGGGACAGCCCAGCAAGGGACAAAACTCTGATTCTTGATGCACGGTCTAGATCACAAGCATTGATAAACGAAGAAATAGACATCCAAGTTGTCGTCTACTGCACAGACCCTCGTCCAGCAAGGCTGGAGGAGGTACAAGGGTAGCATCTAGCAAGAGGGACTGTAAGGAGGAGGAGGAGAGAGACGAGGACTCAGGCTGGTGGCAGGAAGACGGAACAGGGGGGCCATAGGTGAGCCTGAGGATGAAGGGGGGAGGCAGGAGAGATCGAGGCCTGTGAAGCCTCTCCATCCCATGTCCCTCTCGACCCCCTCGCGCGTGCATGTCCGGCGGCTGCCTTTGGAGCTCTGGAGCTGCGGTCAAGCCGCTGATATCAGTCAACTTGGCACTGCCACTCAGTACTGCGGCAGGGCCCCGGCGTTCCGGGCGCCCGCGCCCGGGCCCGGCGGGGCTCCGGGACGGGACCGTCGGCGCCGGCAGCGGTTCGATGGTCGGCGACTCGGACTGCCACAGCGGCCTGCGGTCCAGGAGCTTCTGACTAAAACCGCGGCCCGGCCCGGGGGCCCGGGGCCACCGTCACGGTGCGTCGGCGGCGGTCACCGCCCGGCGGTCCGAGTCACCGGGGCCGGCACTGGTGACCGGCGGGGCCCCCCGTGGCGGGAGCGGCCGTGACGCCGGTACGGTCCGGCGGGGCCCGGGGGGGGCCGGTGACTCTGACCGCCCGGCCCCGCCCCGCCGGCCCCGGCGGCGCCGGGGCCGGCGGGGCGGTCTAACCTCCGCCGGGGCCCGGCCGGCCGCCGGCCGGCGGGACTCCGGGACTGGGAGTCACTGCCGGGGCCGCCGCCGGGGCCCGGCCCGTTGACCGTCGGGCCGTACCGTACTGGGCCCGGTGCCCGCATCCGAGTCATGAGAGTCATTCGCGTGGCAGTGGCACAGGGCCTCGCGCCCGCGGTGGGCCATCTTCCTTTACTCAAAGTTAAGTTAAAAATCAGTACGGAGGACAATCAGGCTGAGAGTCGCCGAGGCTTGACACTGCTGACACTCAGGTCACGGTCCGGCGCACAGGCCAAACGGCGAGAAGAGAAAAGATCGGACGGCGAGAACCAAACCCACTGAATCCTGCCGACTGCTGTCCCCCAAACTTAACTGATACCGTACCTCCACTTAACGGCGCGCAGGACAAGTCCCCGCGCGGCCATGCCAGCGATGTCGCGGTGGGCCGCCGCCGAAGGAATGAGACGCCGCATACCCGGCGGGATGCACCCGCGATGATGATGGCAGCCTGGGGTAGGACAGGCGGAGGCCTTGAGCTGACGAAAGGCCTGAGATCCTGGACCGGATGCATTTGCAAGTCAGATCACCTGGGACGTCTTGCGAGGCCGAGAGACCATCCAGCGCTGCCGTTTCCTTGTTCGCCGAGCGATCCGCCAGCCACCACAGAAAGCGCAACGCATCGTCCATCATTGTCAAAAACATGTCAGTGTCGGACATGATGATGATCTTCAGCCATCAGTGATGATCGCCGGGAACGGTCCGACTCACCGTACCAACTTCCGCGGTGATGACCGTGAACGGTACCGTAGTACCGTACTCCCGACGGTTCGGAAAGTGGCAGCCGCTTGGTGGCGTGACCGAGTCAGGTGCCGCGGCCGGCTGACTCACAGTGACTCGTGACTGAAGTTTGCAACTGAGGGGGTCACTGAGGGTATCATGAATGATTACAGTATGGGTGGGGTGGGGGTAGTCGCGGACTGATCCGGTTGACTCTCATCACTCGCGTCCCAAAACAGATAAACCAAGTAGGGGTCCAACACCCTAATGTAAGCCCATAGAGAGGGGGTGGGTACCACACCAAAAAAGGGTTTGAAGGTCCACTTTCAGCTTCTTTACTCAAAGTTAAGTTAAAGATCAGTACGAGGACAATCAGGAGAGTCATCAATCTTGTCTCTTGTTCCCCAAGTACCCACCCCTGTACCCACCCCTAGCGCCTACCCTGATTCCCCACCCCTCCTCCATGCCCTTGTGAGTCGCGTTCGACCCTGATCCCTCCCTCCCTTGTCCGTGGACTCCCCTCCCGCCTCCCTCCTCCCCCCCTCCCCCTCCCCCCCCCCTCCCACACACCTCTGTCTCCCTCCATCCCTCCCCCTCCCCCTCCCCTCCTTCTCTGCTCCTCCCCACACTGAGCCAACGTGCTTCTGCACGCTGCAAGACCCTTGCATGTGTCGTGACCCCCTACCCTCCCGATAAGATCCTCCATAACCCCCGTCAGGCTTGCCTTCTCTATTCGAGCGAGATCAATCGTTGCACGGTTCGTCTATCTCTGGCGTCTACGTCTCTGTAGCATTCACGGATCCTCCAGTGCAAGCAAGGCTTGTCTTCCAAGATGTCTCAAAGGCTCCCTCCCATCCCTGACGGTCAAGGCTGGAATTACTCCCTCCTCCTCTCCCCCCCTCCCCCTCATGACTCTCTTCCCTCCTCCCCTCCTCCCCTCCCCGTACCTGATGCTCTCACGCCCCAGCCCGTCCCCGTCGCCCCCCCTCCTGCCCTCGCCCCCCCTCCTGCCCCCGCCCCCCGCCCCCACAGAGCTCCCTCCGTCCACTGGACCAAGGACGAGCACCAGCGCTTCCTCCTCGCCCTCGACCAGGTCTGTCCGGGGCGACGAGACGGCAGCAGCTCCGAGACAGGCAGGCCTTCCGTGGGGCTGGGGCGAGGAGTGGCGAAGCGCATAGCCGCCATCATGCAGACCAAGACGGAGTCGCAGGTGCGGTCGCACGCCCAGAAGTACTTCATGAAGAAGCCCGACAAGGACCTCAGCGACTCCTCCCAGTCGCTCGACGACAGCGACTCGATGCCCCAGCTGCCTCCCAGCTCCCACCTCTCGGCCCAGCCCTCGTCTGAGACGACGTCAGACACGACAACATGGTCGGCGGGCGACGACCCGGGCTGATACTCTACCTGCCAGCTCGTCGGGTGCTCGAGGAGTAGCGTCAGGCTTCCTCGACTCCGAGCCAAGCGACCGTTTTGTGAGCGTGTCTGACTGCAGTAAAGCTCTGGTCTCCCCGCCTCTTGTCGCCTTGCTGCTTGCCTGCAGCAGCTTCCCGGGTCTGCGTCGGAAGCGCTGACTTGGGTCATGCACGAGCCTTGCCTGGCCCTGCTCGTGCTCCTTGTCACCGCAGCTGCTTGTCCGCCTGCAAGCTCGTCAGAACTGAGGGCGCCAGTCATCCTCGTACCCTCTCATGCCGTCACGGTGGCATCCTCGTCGCTGCTCCGCTGAGAGGTGGTCTGAGCTGCTACTCGGACTCAGACTGGCTCGAGCTCGTCGTCGCCCTGCCTCCACTGGGCTCGCCTAACAACATCAGCATGGAGACAGGGCACGACGAGCGGCTGCCTGGAGTCAGGTCATGCGGGGTTGATAAGTCTTGCTGTCGTGGCAGGTAAAGCTGTCGCTGTTCTCGGTCATTGCCACAGCCCTCTCTGTCGCTTGCGGTCAGCGCTTGATAGCTGCTGTGACTTCATCTCAAGCTGGGGAACTCAATCTCCTCCCTGCTGCTTTCTGTGGGGCTGTTCGACTTGGTGCTTGCTTGGGTCACGCCGATGTCTCTTGCAGCGATGACATCAACCAAGTTGTCTGCTGAAGGCGCTTGGACCTTTGCTCTCGCCTTCATGCCTGTGTCTTGCGACCCTCCTCTTGCCCACATCGGGTCTCGTTGGGCTGCCCTCTTGTTCCGAAGAGCTCATCTGCCTCCCTACTCTCCCGATCAGCGGCTGGTGGTCATGACTTGATTGGGTCCGTCACGATTCACAGTCGCTCACCTGCAACCATCGACCTACTCACTCGTTGAGGGATCCTCTCCTCTCCCTTACTCGAGCCCCGCGCACTCGTACAGGGCATGACGAGCGGCTGCCTGGAGTCAGGTCATTGAGCGGGATGGAGTTGGCGGGCTTGAGGAGCCGCCGGCAGCCCTTACGACAGTCTGATGGTGCAGGTCCGGCCAGGGGAGGAGGAGGAAGCAGGCTGGGCGACGGGTCAGTCTTGCTGTCGTGGCAGGTAGAGCTGTCGCTGTCCTCGGTCATTGCCACATGCCTTGCCGTGCATACGTTGCTTGCAGTCAGTGTTTGATCGTCAAGCAGGGGACCTCAATCTCCTCCCTGCTGCTTTCTGTGGGGCTGTTCGACTTGGTGCTTGCTTGGGTCACGCTGATGTCTCTTGCAGCGACGAGACGTGCGAGGCCAGTACCTGATCGTCGTGGAGTAGATATCAGGTCCATTTCCGTCTTGTGAAACTTTTCTTCTTTTTCCTTTTCCCTCCTACTGCCTGCCCGGATCTTTTGCTTTCCGGTCGTCTGCCTCTCTCAGCGCACTCTTGCACTGATCCCTCTTGTCTGCTGCTTCAAGACTTTCTTTCCGCACCTCTTGCTCTTGTTCCTTGCTCCTCTCAGCACGCCATCGCCCCCTACCCCCCCTCCTGTCCCTCACCCAATCGCATCCAAGTCCCTCGCCCCTGGTTTGCATCCTCGCCTACCCTGCCATCTTCCCACGCGGTCGACTGCAGGCTTCTCTCGTACTCGTCTCTCCTCTTCTCAGCGTCCCCCCCTCTTCCCCATGCTCCGCCTCCCATCGTCGATTGATTGGCTGGAAGAAGCATCGATTTCTGGTGGACCGGTGCGTAAGCCATGATTCTCAGGGGTAGGGTACGAGGTCGGGGTTGTTCACTACGCGCTTGGTGGCATGGCGCGCAGGCGAGTGGAGGGCTGGCGAGCAGAGGCGTCAGTGCATGAGGTGAGGAGGAGGGAAGAGAGCCATGCTGCGACAGTGATGGAGATAGAGGCAGAGACAGCGATGTAGTCACAGACAAGAAGGACACACAGACGCTGTCACACCAACAGGAGGAGCGACGGATGCGGGAATATGGGGAGGGGACGGCAGAGGAGTCGCAGACAGTGACAGGTGCAAGCCATGCCCATGGACCGGGAGAGAGATAGAGGCTAAGGCGTCAACAGAGACGGAGACTGTCAGGAACAGGAAAAAGAGGAACAAAGGCAGGCACAGAAACAAACACAAGGCAAAACAACCCGAGGGGTGGAAGAGAGATGGAGACTACAAGACAGACATCAGACGTGACACGAAGCGAGGAACACAGGGACAGCAACGGGGGTGGACTGGGCATCGGGGAACATGGGGACGGCTGCAGGGCTACCAAGGGGAAAGCAGCTTGGTGCAGATGACAACAACGTAAGGATGATGGTGATGAGGGAGAGGATGATGATGATGAGCAAGACGAGAGCTCGAAGGCCAGCAGAGGTCTATGTATTGACTCGGGCTGGCGTGAGGACAGGACTGGAGAGCTACCACAGTTGTAGAGATGAGGCCGTGGGAGTGACTTCGCATTTTGTTGGTGCGTTTGACGACGGCTTGCAGAGAGATTTATCGAATGCCAGGAGCAGCCTGAGAGAGGAAATGAGAGAGAAAGATAGTGAGGTCAGCGCCATGGTATCATCACCATCACGATCAGTCATCATGTTCGTCGTTTAGACCAGTAAGTCTGTTTTTCGAATTGACAGAAGACGCTTCAAAGGCCAAGGACAGGGACGGCAAGGAGCGATCGACGGGAGACCAGGTGGGAGGAACGACACTGAGACTTAGGTTATGCAGCAAGTTGGCTGAGAGACGCTGGAGAAGAGCGCAAGGGAAAGGGCGTGATTCTGAATGAGGCAAACTGAAGAGCAAAGGACGGGGAGGGAGGGAAGGGAGGAAGAGATCGAGTTGACGAGGAGGAGACTATGGTACATCCAATAGAGAGAGACATGACAGATGGCGATTGAGAAGAAGTGAAAAGAAGAGGACGAGGACGAGGACGAGGACGAGGACGAGGACGAGGACGAGGACGGGCGGGGCGGGCGGGCAGGGGAGGCGGGAGGAAGAGGGAGGGTGGGGTAGTGAGAGATTACTACCGACATAAAAGGTTTTAGGTAAAACAGTCAAATCAAAACTCCTTCTTTTCGAGTTTTACCACAGGAATACTTGCCTGGAAGGTTACCAGAGTATGTGAGGGGATGTGGGAGTTTCCCAAATTCATCCATGGAGGAAGCGAGCGCGAGTGAGAAAGGAGGGAAAGCAAGAAGGGAGGAGGGAAGCGAGGGAGAAGAGAAAGCAGAACGGGGTTGTTTGCTCGAATGTAAAGATGCACATACAGGTATGTGGCAGCCAAGACATGTCGTGACTATCTGTAAACGCATGCAAGCAGCTCTGGAATCTTGTTCTTTGAAATAGCATGACAACATCAAGCAGACACTAGAATCAAGCTGACTGCGCCTCTGCTTTCCTGGTAGCTTGCATGTAGAGCAACGGTATACATTTGTTGTCATCTACATCTGTCAAGATTTACGTCATAGCAAGAAACAACTTCGTACAAGTCGATTGTCCTCTTGGAGCTCAACCTTGTCTGGAAATTATTGCTGCAACCATGGTTCATCCCCTCTCCACTGCAAAGCCTCACGCCGCGTGCTCGTTTCATCGTCAGTGCGGAAACTCGTCAACGAGAGAGCAGCTCTTCTTCATGCTCTTCATCCTTCTGTTCATTCGCGGCCTTTTTTCTTTTTGTTGGGAATTGCGCGGTAACTTAGATGGAAGGTAACCTACGTCTCGCTCCCGGCACCCCAGCACCCCAGCCTCTGCCGCACGGTCCCCTCCACCTGCGCCGCTCGAGCAGCAGCGCCGATGACACATCCTTCCTCCCCCCGAGCAGCTGCTGGACAAGCAAACAACATCAGAGCAGAACCAACGCCTGACAGAGTCCCTCCCATCCCTGACGGTCAAGGCTGGAATTACTCCCTCCTCCTCTCCCCCCCTCCCCCTCATGACTCTCCTCCCTCCTCCCCTCCTCCCCTCCCCGTACCTGATGCTCTCACGCCCCAGCCCGTCCCCGTCGCCCCCCCTCCTGCCCCCGTCCCCCGCCCCCACAGAGCTCCCTCCGTCCACTGGACCAAGGACGAGCACCAGCGCTTCCTCCTCGCCCTCGACCAGGTCTGTCCGGGGCGACGAGACGGCAGCAGCTCCGAGACAGGCAGGCCTTCCGTGGGGCTGGGGCGAGGAGTGGCGAAGCGCATAGCCGCCATCATGCAGACCAAGACGGAGTCGCAGGTGCGGTCGCACGCCCAGAAGTACTTCATGAAGAAGCCCGACAAGGACCTCAGCGACTCCTCCCAGTCGCTCGACGACAGCGACTCGATGCCCCAGCTGCCTCCCAGCTCCCACCTCTCGGCCCAGCCCTCGTCTGAGACGACGTCAGACACGACAACATGGTCGGCGGGCGACGACCCGGGCTGATACTCTACCTGCCAGCTCGTCGGGTGCTCGAGGAGTAGCGTCAGGCTTCCTCGACTCCGAGCCAGTGTCTGACTGCAGTAAAGCTCTGGTCTCCCCGCCTCTTGTCGCCTTGCTGCTTGCCTGCAGCAGCTTCCCGGGTCTGCGTCGGAAGCGCTGACTTGGGTCATGCACGAGCCTTGCCTGGCCCTGCTCGTGCTCCTTGTCACTGCAGCTGCTTGTCCGCCTGCAAGCTCGTCAGAGCTGAGGGCGCCAGTCATTCCCGTACCCTCTCATGCGGTCACGGTGGCATCCTCGTCGCTGCTCTGCTGAGCCCCGCGCACTCGTCAGGTATCCCACGCTCGCGACTCCTGGGACGAGCTTGAGAGGTGGTCTGAGCTGCTGCTCGGGCTCAGACTGGCTCGAGCTCGTCGTCTCGTCCTCTCCATCTTTCTTCCACTGGGCATGGCGAGCTTGGGATGCCGCAGTCTGATGGTGCTGGCCAGGTGTTTTCCAGCCAGAGGGCGTCGGGTCAGTTTCAATCTTGTCAGTGGCAAATTCACGAGCTTCACCGGATGGTTTGTGACTGCCCACGAGAATGAGATTTGGGACATTGCTTTCACTGTAACATGTTGAGACTGTTCTCTTTCTTTTTCCAGATACACAACAACTCA